TCAGAGTTTGAGGAGCCAGGTGGCCTGGGGGATTCCTACCAGTAGGCAACACACAGAAAAGGAGATGCTGGTGGAGACCATAGCATGGAATCCTGCTGAGGCCAACAGGAACAGAGATAACAAGTGGGAGCTCAAGAGGCATCCCAGAAAGGACCCCATCCTAAGAGGAGGTTGTTAACTTGCTAGAGCTGGGACCAGGGTCATCTGTTCTTAGAACTGGGTAGGAGGTTGCTGGAGTACAAAGTGCTGAGAGTCCAAATATGGAGTTAACACTGGCTGAGTTCAACTTGCCCTAGTTCTGGTCGTTGGAGACACAGTAAAGCAAATGGCAGTGTGAAACCTCATCATGGATGGAGGCAAGTAGGAGTGGCTGACCAGATTGTTGCAAATGGAAAACCACTTATGGGCAACAAGAAGTAAGGTCCAGGAAGGGTCATCCTGCTCGATCCAGAGTTTAGAAAAAAGATTCTCTGCAAGGCTGGAGGGACTCTAGATCACCATAAGACCTTTAATCACCAAAAAGCAAACAATGGTTGACCAAGTCAAGGTTCAGTTTGTTCAAGAATGTGATTACTGTAAATATGACTGCCAAGACCTTGGACCTTCTTTACTTCTCAGTTTTCCTCTGTGAAAAATGTGGGGTTGGAATAGATGTTCTTGAAGGCTTGTCCAGTTCTGACAGTCTATAGTTTTATGAATCATTTCTCAAAGGAAACTTGCACGAACGAGAAGAACCTGCCAAGTTTGGGCCTTTCATTCTGAGTAATGAACTGAAACAGCAAAGTCTTGACATCTGTTCTGCTCTTTCAAGAGAAGTTGGAGAAAATAATGCCTTTTTTCAGGGCGGTCGTAACCAACAGTGAAAAGTAGAATTTCCTGCCTAAAACAAATAAAAATGGAAAACTAAGGGCTTCTGAAGCCCCAGGGAAAACACATATTGAATCTTCCCAGGGAGAAGATCAGGTTGACCAGTTGTCTTGCTGCTGTAAGCACAGAATATGGCAGATGTTATTTTCTTTAAGCCCTTTAGCAGACCAGAGTAACTGGTGAGGAAAAGCTGAGAACTTTGAGAGGGTATCAGCTTAGAAGGAGGGCCTGCGATCCTGCACTCAGCTTCCAGATCAATCCTGAACCACTTATGGACAAGCTTGGGCTACAAACATCTTGATTCCCTGGTCACTCACTGGTGGTCTTGTTCAACTTGTGATCCAAAGTCAACAAGGAAGATTTGTCAACATTGGTGAAATCCTTCTCACAAATCCACTCCAAGCCCTGGGAACCATCCCCAGAGACAAGTTCCAAATACATCAGACCAGAAATGACCTTGTACTCAGCCTCCCAGATACATGTGCTTTGAAGGGACAGGGCTGTGGGTAGGCTATGTCCTAGAACCAAAATCCCACTCCATCTGCATTACAGCCATGTTTCAGAGAAGACTAGAACTTCAGGGCAGAACGGACCTTCCAGGAGGTCCTACCCTCCTCCCATCTCCCAAAAGGGACTCCCTGAGCTAGAGCTCTGTGAGAGTCGGGTTCCTGCTAGCCCTGTACACCCAGCCAGCCACCCAGAGGTCTTGAGCAAGCATATGTCACTCACTCTGCTCCTTCTCTGGTTTTCCTTTACACACACTTTGAAATGAGAAGCTGCTGAACTAGGTGATAACATCTTCCCATTTCTTCTTTTGCCTCCAAAGTGAGGTAAATTCCAAGTTGCATGTGGGGAAATATTCAAAAGAGAGGTCCTACGATAATAGTTGGAAATGATCACTCCAGACAAGAACTAAGTGCTGAAAGGAGGTAAAGCAATATATACAATAACCTTTCAGTACCTTTATTTGCAACCCATAATGTCCAAAAGGCCAAAAGGGAGGGGAACCAGAGGGTGGTAGAAGGAAACTAGAGACACTAGTGGAAGGAAATGTGCACTGGTGAAGGGATGGGTGTTGGAACATTTTGATTGAAACCTAATCATGAACAACTTTGTGAATGTGCATCTCATAATGATTCAACAAAAAAGGCAAAGTCCTAGTATGAAATAATCAGATGTGACAGGCTCCTCCCCACTGTCTTGCCTGGTTCAGCCGTTCATCACATCCTTGGGATCCGAGTGTCAGTGGCGGGAGTTGGAGGAACAATGGGAAGAGCAGCATGGAGGGGGTGCATTTGCCAGCATGGGCCACGCACAAGCCCCTGAGAACTGGGATTCCCCTCATTTAAGTTCTCCCTGACTCAGTTTCTGGTTCTTATTCTAGGCTTGGTGGAATCAGAGGCAGCATTACCAGCTAGGAACTAATTTGATTAATGTCCATCTTCCCCTCATTAGACCAGAAATTCCTTAAGGGCGGAAATCATGCCTGATTGGCTCCTCTCTGTACCTCTAGTGCCTAGAAGAACTTGTTAAATAATGGATTAGACTGAGGGAGGGAGAGAGAAGAGAGGAGAGAAGGAGGGAGAGTGGGTGGAAGAGAAGGAAGGAGGTAAGGAGGAAGGCAAGTCAGGATAAAGGGAGGGATAGAACTGGGACACACCAGTGGATGTGTCTTTTAACAAAGCCTTTTCAGTGATTATCTTCAGGGTCCATCTTCTCAGTCTTGCCCCACCTGAGGATGGAAAGTGATAACTTGGTTCACATTCTATGTGCAAATAGCCACAGGAGCCCCAGGGGCAGCCTCTCAGAGGGAAACATTATTAATAAGCAAACATTTCAGAACTGACATGTGGTCTGGAAGCAAAGAAATGAAATAGTGACTCAGCCAACGTCAGTTAGGAACTCAGAGGTAAATCACAGATAAGATGAAAGTTCACATGGCCTTACCTACTGCCAAACTGAGCATGCCAGAACCAGCTTCATGGGAGCTTCGGATAGTGGCAACCATCCTGGGCTTTCTGAAGGGCTTCCTGGAAGAGGCAGCATGTTCAAAAAAGTATGAAGGATGGTAAAAGTCAAACCACAGGGAAAGAACTTTCTAAAGAGGGCTCTCCTGAACGTTTAGCCAGGAGATGAAGAAAGGTAAAGTGGTCAGTGGGATGAAGTTAAATGGAGCCTCATAAAGAAGAAGGCCTTGGGAGAGGCTGGTAAAATGAAGAATTCTAGATTTTCTGCAGAAAACCCAGGTATGCTGGACTTGTGACTGAAAATTCCAGGTTCAATGGAATTGGGAATAGGTGACTTCGCCCATGTCCCCCATGTTTCTAGCAGCTTGGCAGTCACACCCACAAGCCACCTCTGGCTGGCGCCAGATAAGCACATCAATGGCCATGATCCAGAGACTCATGTTCCTTCTCTCTCAGAAGGTAGAATAAAACAACACTGCCACAGCCACACTGCCAGACCCCAAGCCAGGTTGTTTCATTTGGGATGCCCTGGTTGGGGGCGGATGAGGCCCCACCCCACCCCAAGGAATCCAGCCCCAGCAGCCGAAAATCTCCAGAACTCAACTTCCACCATGCTCAAGGCCGCTCCCCCACATACTCAGGCCGAGCCTTACTCATGAGTAAACCTATCCCTGGACTGTGTGGCCACAAACACAACATCTCATACCTCACACCACTCACATTCCAAGAGCAACACACCACATTTGATGGGGTTTTAAGTAGAAGGCAACCAATCTTAGAGGGAAATATATTTTTACAGATATATATATGTATATATATATATATATAAAAGCACACAAGGCTTAACCCTTAACAACATATTAGTAATCTCTTATAGAAGGACTTAATAGCCCCTGGGTGAAATACAAAAATATTCACACACTCTCCTCTAAGGAAAGTTTTTTGGAGCATTTTCAGTGGTTTATTCATAACAAACAATATAAAATAAATTATTTAGATTCTTCTTTGGGGCAGGGATTGGGGTTCAAGATGGAAACATCCAAAATATGGTGTAATGGGGGGCTAGAGCGATAGCACAGCGGTAGGGCGTTTGCCTTGCACGCAGCCAACATGGCCGACCCGAGTTCGATTCCTCCGCCCCTCTCGAAGAGCCCGGCAAGCTACCGAGAGTATTCGATATGCCAAACACAGTAACAACAAAGTCTCCAATGGAGACGTTACTGGGCCCGCTTGAGCAAATCGATGATCAACGGGAGGGGTGGCGGGATTAGTGTTTGAATATTAAGTGTAATAAAATATTGTGAACTACTTTATAAAAATAAAAAAAAGTAAAATTTGAAAAAAAAAGAATTCTAGATTTTTTCAATCACTGTTGTGGGATCATACCTGGTGGTGCTCTGGTGGCCATGCAGAGCTGGGATTGAATGGGAAGCCCTGCTCACGCCTGGCATATGCTCCAGCTTTCCCCAGCCCTGGGACCATAGATTATTAATGAGGAACAGCTCAGACCAGAGATGGAGCTTTAATTATTCCTCTCATTAAGACTGATGGGCTAAAATTGATCAGCCTATGACCGTGCCTCGCCTCCCTGCCCCTTCCTTTCCTCCTTGGCGCTTTTCCTTCTACTATTAAAGAGGGCTCAGGCTTTACCTGTTTTCTCTCTCCCAGTCCTATGGCCCCCAAGGACTATTATTTTTGTCCAGCTGGTTTGGGGGGGTTTCAGAGTAAACAGAATATCTAGAATGGGGCAATGCGATTTTTTTTTAGTAGGCAGGAGAAGAAACCAGACGTCAGTAAGGGTTGTTGTGCATGATATATCTGGACGTCAGAAAAAGATTGGGACTGCCTTGGCATGTCTGTTGCTTGCTGGGCTGCGTTTCTCTGACAAAGTGCCATGTGGCAACAGACAATGCAGTACAACTTTGATAGTGCTCTGTTGTGGTGTGGTGTCCCGCTGTCTTCCCCAAAGCTCTTGAAGAACAGGAATTCCGCCTGTTTTGTCTGCTCAGCACCCTGAGCATGGCGGGGTCCAGGTTAGTGAATGGAAAAGTGCCGTTCAATGTCCCCGACCTTGGGAATGGACCACTCCCTCATCCCCCCTCCTCCGAGAAGGCATTTTCTGTCCCTTCCTGGTCTGCTTTGTTCACCACCTGTCTCTCGTTGCAGAAGGCAGATCTGGCCGTGGCTCCTCTGACCATCACCCACGTCCGTGAGAAGGCCATCGACTTCTCCAAGCCCTTCATGACCCTGGGCGTGAGCATCCTGTACCGCAAGCCCAATGGCACCAACCCCAGCGTCTTCTCCTTCCTCAACCCTCTGTCCCCGGACATCTGGATGTATGTGCTCCTTGCCTACTTGGGGGTCAGCTGCGTCCTCTTTGTCATCGCCAGGTAAGGCCAGTGTCTCTGTCGGAGCCCTGGCCCCAGGTTGGGGTGGAGGGGACCAGGTTATCCCACGTACTCAGAAACTGGTAATGGAAGGTGGGGATGTGGAGCACGCGTGGGCTTGATCCTCTCTGCTCTCTGAGATGCAGGAATCTCCAGGTTCTTCTGAAGGGCTCAGCTTCCCCAAGCTTGAACCCGCACTCCCAGTCTTAGCTGTGTCTGTGAGTGAGGGGCTGCCACTGCACCCAGGCCCCTCTGAGTGGCCTGGAGAGGCTGTGTCCTCACCCAGAGCTGGGGCAAGGGACACGGGGCTATGTCCTGCACATCTGCACTAGGATGCACAAATTCACAGCCCAGTGGAGCAGGATCCTCAGTCCTGCATGTGCCTGTCACTCAGGATAATTGTCCAGCTGTGGGTTCTTGCCCTGGGCACTAGAAACACACAGCTGAACTGGACTTTGAAAATCGGTCTTGTTTCTTATTTCTTCAAACCAATTTCTCTTTTTCTTTCTTCCTCTTCTTTCTTCTTCCTTTTTCCTTCTTCCTCCTTCCCCCATTCTCTTTCTTCCCTTCTCCATCCTCCTTCTTCCTCTCCTCACTCTTCTTCTTCTCCCTCCTCCTCCTTCTTTCTCTTCTCCCTCTTCCTCCTTCTTCCTCTTCTCCCTCTTCCTCCTCATCCTTCTCTTTCTCTTCCTCTTCTCCTCCTCCTTCTTCTTCTTTTCCTTCTCCTCCTCCCTCTTTCTCTCCTTCTCCTTCTTCTCCCTCTTCCTCCTCCTTCTTCTTCCTCTTTATCTTCTTCCTCTTCTCCTCCTCATCGTCCTTCTTCTTCTTCTTCTTCTTCTTCTTCTTCTTCTTCTTCTTCTTCTTCTTCTTCTTCTTCTTTCTTTTCTTTTTGTTCTTCTTTTCTTCTTCTTTCCTTATTATTTTTCTTCTCATTCTTCTTATTCTTCTTCTTATTTTCTTCTTGTTCTTCTTTTCTTTTCTTCTTCTTCCTCTTCTTCTTTGTCTTCTTCTTCTCCCTCCTCTTCATCACCCTCTTTTTTATTCTTTCCTCTTCTTCTTCTTCTTTCTCTTCCTCTTTATATTTATCCTCTTCTTCTTCCTTCTCCTCCTCCTCCTTCTTCTTCTCCTCCTCCTCCTTCCCCCAGGTAGTAGGAATCCAGACACAGTAAAGAAAGGTCTACTACACTGTCCTCTTGGCATCTGCCTTGTCCCCTCTTGGCCCAGAAAAGCCCCGTAGTAACATTGGACCTAGCAGTGACTCAGTCTCCTCTCTGGGCCAATGGGTGAGCCAAGCCAGAGAACATCAACCATCAGAGTTTGAAACCTTCCATTTCACTTTCCACCCCAACTGAGCAGGAAAGTGCGAAGCTGCCATAAATGTCAGCTCCCCCTTTTTCTTGTCTTGAGGCTGACATGGTCAGGCAGGATGGCAGAAAGAACTCCCACCACTGAAAAATAATGAGGGATGTCAAAGGTATTAGCCGTTTTCAGGTGGTCCACGTTGTCATGAACCCATGGTAGCATCAGCCACGCAAGTCACTCTCTGGCACGTGGCAGTGTTTGCTCTGAGAGCCTCGCCTCTTACTGCTGGGGAAGGAGGTCGCTGATGTGGCCCCCCATCAAGCATTGTCCCCTAGGCTGCATGGAAGGACAGAGGGAGGTAGCCCAGGCTCCTGGGGTGCCAACACCTCCTTGGAAGGGACTCCTGAGAATGAGCAGCACCCCCAGCCTCTTGATCTCGGGTCCCTGGGTATTCTCTCTGTGATCCATGTCTGTCTCTTGGACATCATCTTCTGTCCCAAGTTGGTGGCCACTGGGTCCAGCATCTGTGCCCCACTTCCCATCAAGGCCCTCTACTCCACCCTCAGCCCCATCCTCAGTCTTGTTCTGGTGCTTCTGTCTTAAAATATAACAAGGGGAAAACAAGAGATGCCTCTAGAGAGACCATCTCAGATGAAGGGCTTGGAGCTTCATCCTCTTCTTCCTCTCAAGTGGTCTTTCAAATGTGCTCCTTCTGCTCCCTCCTGCACAGAGACCCTGGGGAGACCAGCCCAGCCCACCATAAGGAAGCCCACATGCAATGTCCTGGGTCTCAGAGGCCCAAGAGACAGAAATCCAGGAGCTGCTCCTCCCCAGAGCACTCACCACAATTTCAGCAGCCCCCGCCTATGTTTCTGATCTAAAATAAAAAGGCTCAGGGCCAGTTTAGGAATTGGGGTGTAGGCATTGTGTGCACAAGACCCCCAGCACTCTCTGGTGCACCCCAGGCAGCACCACATTGCTGATCCCAAGCATTAAACCATCTGACCTAGTGGTTGAGTACTGCCAGGAGTGACCTGTGTACCTCTTAGCACTGTTTGAGTACAGCCCCCTGCAAAGTTTAATCTTCCCTACCACCAGTTCTGCTCATCTGATTCGCTCCTCTTCTGATCTGTGGCCTTCTTCCTGAGCCCAAGTTTGGTTGCTCACCCCTCAAAGGCCACCTACTTGGAAGGGCTAGTGTGAGGAAAACAAGTTTGGACTAAGGATTTCCATGGGGCAGGCTGGGAGTAGAGCCGGCAGTTCTGGGCATTCATTAGTGGCTGATGGCTCCTTGGAGAATGGGGTCTATTCCCTGTGACATGATTAGATGACCCTCCTTCTTCCGGGTCTGCATGATGACCTTAAAGTGTCCTACCAGAAGGCCTCTGTCGACTCTCCTCTGAGGAAGAGAGGAGCCTGTGGGCTGGATAAGCCCAGGAGTGATCTCAGAGGCCTGTTGTTATCTCTCCCTGCCTCCATTCATTCATAACTGGACCTGGTTCAACATCAAACACACAGGAGACTATCTGTTAGGATTGGGGGTGGGGGAAAGGCCAAAGGTCAAGGGGAAAGAGGACAAAGTTCAAGGGTTATAGGAAGTGTGAGTTGCACAACAAAATTTCATGCTTGCTCACTCACAAGTCTTTCCTCGGCTACTGGCAGGTATACTTGCTTTCCAGTCCTCCTGAAACCCCATCCTGGCCAGGTCAGAGCCCCTTCCCTAGGTTAGTCTGAGGAGACTTTCTGTAAGAGAGGGGCATACCAGTACTGCTAAAACACCAGGCTCCTGAGGAGAGAAGGGAGGGTCTCAGAGCCAGAGAGGCAGGGCCAGCGTCATAGCACACCCCTCCCTCACACATCCCAGTCCCCTTGACTCTACCTCAGACCAGGGAGAGCATCTAATCACCCTCCGCTCACCGAGACAGAGGCGGGAGGCTCCGAGAGGCCGTCTGCCAGGCCAAAGGTCTTCCCTTGGCAGAGCTGAGCTTCCTGCTCAGTCCTGTCCCACTTTAAGCCAGGGTGGCAAACACAGATGTGTGCAGGCCAGGCAGAAAGTACCGAGCCACATGGTGGCCAGGCAGTGGGTAGTGGAAAGCACACACTAGTAAGGGAAGACCCCAGAGCCGACAGATCTAGGCAACAAGGAGGGCCGGCAAGAACACACAATGTGCGGAGAAGACTCAGGGTATTGCCGGGCACCCATTGGAGTTAGGGTGGAGGGTGTAACCTTGTAGCCTGCTCCATGTGGCCACTGGCCTGTGGACCCTTCCCTGTGACTGTGGATGTCCCAAGGGGTGGACCTCATGAAGGGTGAGGAGGGCCCCAGGTGCTGGATCTGGCATTTTGCAAACTGCACCTGCCCAACTTTACCGAAGCCTTCCAGCAACTTCTCAGGCCTATCTCTGCCCCCAGAGCCTTCTGCTTTGTGCCGAGATAGGGTGAAGGAATAAGAGGGAGGGAAGGACTTTCTCAGCTGAGAATACGGGAGAGCATGCTGCTGTGGCTGGGAGGCACAGCCCAGCTCAGCCCCCGGGCAGGCTAGAGGAACCAGGCAGCAGGGCTGGGCACACTCCATCCTGTCCCCGAGGGGGTCAGGGCTGGTCATTGGTACTGGGCACACTCCATCCTGTCCCTGAGGGGGTCAGGGCTGGTCATTGGGACTGGGCACACTCCATCCTATTGCCAAGGGGGACAGGGCTAGGCATTGGGGCTGGGCACACTTCGTTCCCAGAGGACTCGGGCTTCTGCTGCTCTGCCAGTGCTCACTTCCTCGTCCTTGAGGACCCCTCTGCCAGCCTCAAACTGTACCTACGAGAACCCCCCACCCATCACTTTAGGGGCATCTTCCTTGTTTGCCCCACAGCCATCCCACACCTCTCCTGTGACCTTGGGGCTATATTCGGGCCCCACCACCACCAACTCTCTGGCTGTAGGACCACCCTTAAGCCACTCTGAACCACCTCCTCAGCTATAAATAGTTCCCTCCTCAGTGGTCCCCTCAATGTAGTGAGGGTCTCAGCTGGGAACAGTGCTTGAAACCAAGAAGCCTATTCTAGGGTTCTAGGATTCTTTGGGGGTAGGAGGGGTGGGGAAAGGCGCTCTGGAGTAATGCTGAGAGTCCTGGGCAACTGGCTGGATTTAACGGTCAGGTTCCGTCAAGAGCTGGAGCCAATGCTTCAGTTCTGTGATTTAGCTGGTTGGTGCTAGGAACTGGCAGGGTCACACTCAGGGGTGCCCAGAGGTTGTGCCATACAGGATGTCAAAGTTGCCTTTCTACAGGCAAAGCACAAGTTATCTCTGAGCTTTCTGACCTCTGGGCTATCCCTATGACCCCTAGAACTGGTTATTTCTTTACTCTCATTCATTCCCAAATAGGAGCCCCAGGGACGGCTGAAGGGCTAAAAGCATCTGCAAATGTTAGGTTTGACCCCTGATGTCACCCACTCACATCCACCAGAGGCACGAGTGGCTGTGTCATGAATAATTCCATATCTGGGGTGAAGGCACACCGAGCCCCACCCTTGAGTGTCCCCAAAGCTAGAAATGTAGGGGAGGACCAGGCCCCCTTCTGGCCTGGGGCCCTTACACATTCCCAGGTGCTGCTCTGGCTCAGTGGCCACTCCCCAGAGGCAGCAGGCAGGCCTGGGACCAGAGTCCTTGAGTGGCCTGTATGGGGATGATGTTCTGGTGTGAGCACATCACTGGCTCTTTGAAACTACAGCATGCTCTGCACTTGGTCTTCCCTCCTGCCTGAGGAGTCCCCCTCGCCTGCCCAAACCTGTAGGCTCCCCTCGAGTTAGGAGGCTCAGACAGTCCTCCAAACCACGCTCACCACTGCCCACAGCAAGTACAGAGTGAGGCCAGCTTGGGCCCAGCATTCCTGTTTCTCTCACACCCAGGCCCCTGAGGCAGCACCCACTGGACACCTAGCTGCTGCCTCACTCCTACCCCTCAGCAGCCTGCACCTCTCCCTGCCAACCCCCGCTGCTGTGGCTGGGAGTCGGGGTGGGAGGGGGTCTGGGCCTGGCTCTCCTGCAGGGCTCATCCAGGCCTGCCAGTGTCCTCATCTGGCCACCATGCCTGGGCCTGCAGCCGCCAGCCTGTCCTCATTGGCCTCCACATTCCAGGCGGTTCCCCCTCCCCCCCAGCAGTCCTTCCCAGAAAGGCCCCAAGGGGGCCACATTTAAGCTTCTCCAAAGTCCCCACTTGCAGGAACCTCCCCTTGACCAGTAGCATGTCCCAGGACAGCTTAGATTCCTGGACCAGAAGGTGCCCCCACCCTTTTTAAAAATTTTTATTAGTGAAACACCATGAGGTACAGTTGTAGACTTACAAATTTTTGTGCTTGGGTTTCAGTTATACAATGATCAAGTACCCATCCCTCCACCAGTGCCCATTTTAAGGTGGGCCCCTTTTGGAACCCCCGGCTGGCTTTGAGTCTCCTTTGCAATTCTCATCCCACTTTCTGCAAATGAAATTCTTCTCCCCGGCGCCACAGTGACGGGAGGACGATTTAGGAAAGCTTTAGAGGGCAGCGGGAAAGGCAGGCGAAAGCCCCAGAGAGCAAGGCACGTTTAACAGCAGCGCGTGGAGCCCGGGAATGGCCCTTGGAAGGGATAAAGCAAAGGAGGAAACCCAGCTCCCTGCACACTTCTCTCTCCTGGCTTCCTCGGAGACTCCTCATTCTGCACTTCCCAGGGGTTCCAGCGTGGGCACTTCCTCTAGGCCTTTGTCTCCCCAGGTCTCCATCTCCCCAGGTCTCTCTCCCCAAGTCTCTCTCCCCAGGTCTCTCTCTCTCTCTCCCCAGGTCTTCATCTCCCCAGGTCTCCATCTCCCCAGGTCTCTCTCCCCAAGTCTGTCTCCCCAGGTCTCTCTCTCTCCCCAGGTCTCCGTCTCCCCAGGTCTTCATCTCCCCAGGTCTCCGTCTCCCCAGGTCTCCCTCCCCAGGTCTCCATCTCCCCAAGTCTCCCTGCCCCAGTAGCTTCCAACAGCTGACATTTCCTCCGCTGAAACTCTCAAGTCAGTCAGCATCCTGCCCCTATCAGGACTTTTCTTCCCGTGAAGGTAGAGGGAGGATCTTAAAAATGTTCTTCCTGCCGCACATAATTCGTATATTCAGAGATAACGCTGTGGGGAATGATTATGCACATTGTTTTCCCCGGGGGATGGGCTCACAGTCCTTTCATATTCACAACGTATTCTTCCATCCCACCTGAATGCTTGATAAAGAGTGTGCTGTACTTTCATCCCTTTCAAGTTTCTAAAGTATGCGAGTAATTCAAAAGCCTGTGTTCTCCTTTGTAGAGATTCACATCCGACCATGCAACAGGCGGCTCTGATATTGCTTCTGCCTTTCTGACTCCCCGTCCACGGCACAAACACCAGCATTTCTCAGTTCTGAGCCTTCCGGTCTCTGGCCTGCCCCCTTCGCCGGGTTTATGAAGGGGGTAGAGAGTTACGTCTTCAGGACTCTGTGCACATGATGTGGCTGTGCTTATTTTTATCGCCCATTTTAACTAAACAATGCATGTGGAAGATCTCTTCCTGCCAGCCGTCTGGAAGCCTCCTGTCCTCCTTAACAGCTGTCTGATGGCTTTGTGGATGTAATCACTTCTCTATTGAAGGACATGGAGGTGGTTTCTAGTTTTCCCTCTTACAAACAATGCTTCCGTAACCCCCCTCCCTACTTCCCTTGGCTCATCGGGAGCATTTTTCTAGGCTGGATAATTGTGGCTGAATTGCTAGGTGGAAGGGCATTTGCACTTTTAATTTGAAGGCCTGCTGTTGAATCACTTTTACAACCAGATAAGGCCACGAAATAAATAAAGAACGAGAAGCCAAATGGCCCTTAGTGTCCCACCCAGCGCCCGCAGAGCAGAGCGCATGTACACGTGGTCTGCCGGCACACAGTGCGGGCTGAACCCCCTCTCGAGGGGCCTGGACGCCCCTGTAAGCTCAGAGCCCCATCTTCTGCTCCCCACTTCTTGCTGCAGATTCAGCCCTTATGAGTGGTACGACGCTCACCCCTGCAACCCAGGCTCCGAGGTGGTGGAGAACAACTTCACTCTGCTCAACAGCTTCTGGTTCGGCATGGGCTCCCTCATGCAGCAAGGTAGGCACCTCTCCTGGGCCTGCTGCCCTTCCCCGGCTCCCTCTCCCCGGGGACCCACAGCAGAGCCAGTGCCCTCGGGAAGCCTGGGCTGAGACAGCTGGATGCCCCACAGCACTGCGTGTCCCCGGCAAGTTAGCTGCCTCCACCCGTGCATGGCTTACAGGGCTCCTCCTGGCCCCTCCTGTTTCAGCATGTGGGCATGGACCTCTGTGAATGCTGGTGCTGACCCCTCCGGTGGTCCCCACACCATGGACTCTGGTTCATCAAGCTGAGCCTGTGGTGGGGAGCACTGTGCCTAGATTAGGTTCCAGAGGCCTGACTGAGGCTATGGCCCTGCCTGGGAGTAGAGGACAGACATGTGCTGTGAGGACCTGGGACTGCAGTGGGGACAGATAGGACCCACAGCTGACTGAGGGCAGCCCTGTCAGAGGCCACTGGGGAAAGTGCTCACAGGCACTATTGACCTCCATGCACTTGTCTGGGGGCCAGAGCATGTGGCCTCATGGAACCTGTCTTGGAAAGTGTACCTGGACAAGCCACCCAGCTGACTAGCTGAGCACCTGCTCAGGGCCTGTGGCACAGACACAGACAGGGGCAGAGCCGACAGGGCTCACCAAACAACTGAAATAAGTCTTTCTCCTATGGTGGGAGTTTTCCCAATTTGGGACAATCAGGGGAAAGGCAAGGCAGGTGAGACTGTGGGTAGCTGGTTGGGAGGGGAAACTGAGACGCCTTGATGGCTTCCCTGGAGCCTGGAGGTCCCAAGGCAACTCTCGCGAGAAGTACCTCCTCCTTGCTGGCAGTACGTGGTGGCCAGAAGACTCACCTTGCTCTGTGGTTCATCATCCTTGTTCCGCACCAGGCAGGAGAGACCGGGGAGCCCCTCCACGCGTAATAGCTTCTCCTCGTCCACCTCCTGCTGCTATTCAAAGCACTAGCCCCTGATGTATTCCCTGCGAGGTTTTGATTAGGAGGGAGAAAAATAGTTACGTATTGAAAACTCTCCCTTGAGTGAGTTCTTTGAAAAAAAAAAAAAGAAAAAAAAAGAAAAATCATCCATATCAAAGCAGACGCTTTTCAGATTGCCAGTCCAAATATTCTGGAAAGTTCAGGAGTCACTTGCTATTTAAATCTCTTGAAAGCAGCCTAGTTAATTACTTCAGTTAGAAGGTTTCATCTAAATTGTGTGCCTCGCCGAAGGTCGGGGAGGAAGAGCGATCTGACTGGGCGGAGAGCTTCAGAAAGTGTTGATTTTCTCCTCCTGCAAAGCACCGCGTAGCAATCTTGCATTTGTACACCACCTTTATTTCCCACACAATTTCTCCTCAAATGATAGCACTGCAGGGATGCGGTCTGGGGTGAGGCTGGGACAGAGGAAGGACGAGGCTCAGGGCTTGACGGGGTCCCAGAGATCGGGGAGCCACCCAGCATGACAAGAGCGTGGACACCTCTGACACAGAGTTAGGAGTCAGGCTCAGGGTTCGATGCAAACAGTCTGAGCAGCCTGCCGTGCTACAACAGCCACTTTTGAACTCGAGCCTGTGCCTGAATCCCTAGGAGGGCTTCTCACACTCAGATTTCTGGCCCCACACCTGCTGTGGCTGCTTCAGTAGCTCTGAGGGGGTGGGAATGGGGGCCAGTGGCTAAACCACAAGCTCCCAGGTGATGCTAATGTCAGGGCAGACTCACACTCCTCCTCCAGGAAAGGATTGGGTTGTGTCTAGCCGCACTTGGCACTAACAGACTGCTTCCTTCTCCCAGGCTCTGAGCTGATGCCGAAAGCCCTGTCCACACGCATCATCGGGGGCATCTGGTGGTTCTTCACGCTTATCATCATCTCTTCCTACACGGCCAACCTGGCCGCCTTCCTGACTGTGGAGCGCATGGAGTCACCCATTGACTCCGCCGATGACCTGGCCAAACAGACCAAGATCGAGTATGGGGCCGTCAAGGATGGCGCCACCATGACCTTCTTCAAGGTGAGAGTCTCCCTGCCCTGCCGCAGCATGCTGACCCCTGCTAGCACACATACACACACACACACACACACACACACACGGAGCCCCCACACAAACTCTCATATACAACTCACACACAAAACCTCACACACACACTCGCATACACACAGCCCCCACACAAACTCTCATATACAACTCACACACAAAACCTCACACACACACTTGCATACACACAGCCCCCACACAAACTTGCATATACAACTCACACACAAAAAACACACACACACACTCGCATACACACAGCCCCCACACAAACTCTCATATACAACTCACACACAAAACCTCACACACACACTCGCATACACACAGCCCCCACACAAACTTGCATATACAACTCATACACAAAAAACTCGCACACACACGTATACACACACTCACATACACACCACACATACACACAAAGTCTTATATATACCTCACACACAAAATAACTCACACACATGCACACTTACAAACTCACATACACCCCCCACACAAACTTGTGTATATACCCCCACACAAAAATTCACATACAGACCCCACATACACAAAAACTTGCGTATATACCTCCCCCAACACACAAACTCACATACACACCACACACACACACAAACTCACATATACACCCCCACATACAAACTCACACATACACATGTGTACGCATACGCACGTGCACACCACACACACACACACACACACACACACACACACACCCTTCACTCTCTTCAATCACAGTCCATGAGCCAGATACCCCCCTCCAGGGCTCAGCACCATTGCTTTGGGGTGCTGTGATGATGAGGCCATCTCAGCTGGTCCCAGGACAGATGCTAGAACCTCTGTTTCTGGGGCAAGTGGTGGAATGTTCCTATCTTCTTGAATAATTGGAGAGGCTGGGTTGGGAGGAGGGAAGGAGAGGAGAGATCTAAACACACACGCAGCCCCTGGGCCCTCATGCCCTTGGCTCTGAGTCTCCATGGCAGCCCTGTTTGTAGGCTGGTCTGGCATGGGGAAGAGCACTCGCCCTCCAGGATGGCTGCAGGGGGCACATCAGAAGCAGGGAAGAGGCTTCATACCTCCGCACATCAAGCTTCAGGAACACAGGGGCCCCCCAGGAAGTCCTGCCACCCACTCAAGACTGTGTTCTGGCTCTGACTTGGCTGCTCCCAGACACTGTATGGCTTTGACCTACTTCCCAGACTCGTTTTAATTTTTTCACCTTCTGCTTCAGTGGCAAAGAGTGAGGGGCTGGCTGAACGGCTGATGGGAGAAGCAGTGGTTCCCACGAGCTGCTCCCAGAAGTGCTCCCTGTGAGCCAGGTGTGGCACTAAATGCTTGGCCTCACTCCATCTCCATGGCCAGCACAGGGAGCTAGCAACTGCCCTTTGGTCGACTTTTACACCTGGCAGCTCTAGGAGGCGAAGGCACTTGTCCGACCCACGGCTGAAGAAGCTGGAGGTGGACGCAGGCCTGCCTTTCTCCCACACCTATGGTTGGGGCCAGTGTTTCTTCCCTTTCCCCTCTTGTATTTCCTTCCTGTGATCTCTTCATCCTGCCAACTGACCTCTGGTGTCATGCCTTGGTCTCCTATTTATGTGACTTATATCTGTGGCCCCTTGGAGTACCCTGGGACCCACAGGGAGCCATGAGAAATGTTGTTCCAGACCATGGTATGCAGGCCTCAGTTTAACTTCAGGTCACCTGGAAGGCTGGTGGAACCCTAGATGTCTGGACGTACCCTCAGAGTTTCTGGTTCAATAGATTCCCACCTATTTATGGCAAAAGCAGAACCAAGAAAGTTTATTTCTGGAGAGGTTTTGTTTGTTTTGGGTTTGGGTTTGGTGGGGGCAGTTATACTCAGTTAGGTGGGCCAGATAGTTCAATGTGTGAGCCCAGCCATGCTCAGAGGGCCCCCAAGGTTATTATAGCTAGGTGGCATCTATCTTGCCGAGCGTGCAAGGCCTTCAAAGGGCTGACCCTTTCTTTGAGCTCACTCTTCAGCTGCAGGAATGCACATTTCTAACACGTCCTGAGTGATGCACCTGCTGCTGGCCGGGTCCTGTCTTTGAGAACCACTCCTGCCACTCTTGTCAGAAGTGCTCAGTCTGGAAACTCTGGCCGGGGGCCAGTTTGCTTGTCAACTGCTCTCCACCAGTCTGGGCTCTGGTTCCCATCTTCCAGTCCTTTCTTTCTTTCAGGCCCAGCCTCTGAGTGATCCTTTAGGAGTCTTAGGAGAGGAGAGAAGGGAGGAGTCAGGCAGGAGGGTCCCCCCCCCACCTCCCAGGCTCGGAACCCGAGCAGCGTCTCCCCACAGCTGCCTCTGTCCCTCCTGAGTGGAAGCAGCTGCTTGGCGAGGGGCGAGGAGTGGAGGGGACCTCACCCGTCTTGGGTGACTGCTGACCCTGAGAAGCCCAGAGACAAAGCCTTTCTTTGAGGTCACAAGTGTGTACTTAGAGGGAAGGGCACGAGGGGATTTCTCTGCATCCCGCTGTGTGTGTTCATACATGTGAGTATGTGTGTGTGCACACATGCAGCCTGCAGCTGCAGCAGGCTAGTATGCACAGAGGTGTGGTTCTTGGATGGATCTGCTATGAGCACGTGAGCCCTGCCCACGAGTTTGCTGTGTGTGTGTGTGTTTGGCGGGGGGGGGGGGGGGGTGCTCGTTTCTGTGCTTGGACAGGGTGTCCGCATGGATGTGGGTCAGGGGAGCACAGCGGGGATTGCGTCTGGGCGAGAGTGCACAGGTGCGTGCCAGAGTGCCCACATGTGCCTGTGAGGGGACGGGGGAGGCTTGTCCCTGACAGGCGCCCGACTCTTCCCCCAAGGTGCCTAGCTGGGGCGTGAGTGAGCGCAGCAGCCAGGCCTCTGAATGCACCTGCTCCCGCGCCTTCCACTGTGCCCGAGCATCTCTCATGCATTACTCATGAGCCCGTCTCTAAGCAGAGCTCCATCAAAGGCAAGCGGCAGGAATAAGACCGCGCAGGCTCGGTGCCGCCCTTACCTCCCTCTGTGCTAGCAGGCTCCGATTGGCCTCCAGGAGACTCGTCCCAGCTCCCCATCGAGCCTCTGTCCTTGGCGTAAAGCTGCACCTCAGCCGGGTCCACCCTCACTTACCTGCCCTGCAGTCAGCAGAGCCAGGAGGAGGGCAAAGGAGACAGGAAGGTGTTGTCCCGGGCCCTGGCTGGGATGCAGGAGCCTCTGCTCAAGGGAGCCTTCAGCTAGAATCGGCAACTCCACATCCCCTGGCTGGCTCGCTCCTCTTGATTCTGGCCACGTGGCCCTCCCCTTGAACAGAGCAGTGCTCTTCCTCCCAGGTGCCTGTTCAGGGGCAGCTGTTGGGGCGGTCACAGAGGTGGGGCCTGGATGTGACCTCTGCTGAGGAGCTGGAAGCACAGCACTCTCCTAGAAGGCCCCTGCTCAACACCAACACCCCCCCCTCCTGCTCCCTGAGCACCTTCGCCTCTGCCCTGAACCCTGCTGAGCTGCTTGACCATCCCCCATCCTCAACCCAACCCCTCGCTAAGCAGCAGCAGCCCACTGCCCCTTAGAAGGGCCAGAGGAGAGACTGAATTCAGCTTAGAAAGCTGGAGGCTCACCAACTGACCTGCAGTCTCAGCAGGGCGTGACAGAGCCCTTGTCCACATGGGCAGCAAATACTTAGGGCCTTCTGCACACAGTCTCTTTCCTGCCCTGCATGTGTGTGTGTGTCCATGGGAGGGCTGGGCCCAGGTCTGGGCAGCAGTCAGCCCCAGGAGTAGATCCCAGTGTGGGGAGACCGAGGCAAAGCTCATCATCGCCAGGGTTATGGAGCACACCCTGTGTACTATGTGCCCGTCCCCCTTCCTCCATCTCCTCCTCAGAAAGGCCCTGGGAGGTAACACTTGTCAACATCATGTCCAGTTCCACAGGCCGAAGTCAGGACTCTGAGACTAGCTGGCACTGACTTCACACAGCTCTGAGATTCCAGGTGAGGGTATGAGCCTCCTGGCTCCAGGGTCAGTGTCCCCGTGTCTGCTCTTGCTTAGGGCGGCAGCCACAGTTCACCACCTGGTCAGCATTAAAGGAGGAACCGGCAGAGAAATTTCGAGAATGCTGTGAACAGGGCAAAGCAGATGACAGCCTTGAGCTCTCTGGAGTGAGGGCCGTTGTGCCCTTCACTTCCATGGTTAGTGCATTTCCTGGGAGGCTGCAAGCCATCTGAAAAGCCTCCATGAATGAGAGAATGTGGGGGGAGGGGGAGGAGAGGGGAGGGAAGGGCAGGAGACAAGGGAGGGGAGGAGTAAGGAGGGGGAGGGGAGGGGAGGAAAGAGGAGAGGAGAGGAGAGGAGAGGAGAGGAGAGGAGAGGAGAGGAGAGGAGAGGAGAGGAGAGGGCATTCACATCCAAAGACAGCAGCCCGAAGCAGGACTCTTGGGGGGTTCCAGACCCCTTACCTCCTCCCTGCAGCCTAGGGGATGGTGGCTGCAGGCAGCCCCCACCTTCCTAAGGAAATCTCATTTGAGAGTTGTCAGAGAGCAGCAACATCACATACAACATCTCCTGTGTTGTCCTCCCTTCGTCTTGGAAGATAAAAATTAATTAGGAGATGAAAAAGGAGGCCTTTGAAGGCCCCGTTCGGCTGTGCAGTGATGTCGGCTAAATGCAGGGATGCAGGGACAGCGCGCTGCCCACGGGGAGGAGAGCTTTGGGGGGAGAGGGTGTCGCGGATTCAGCCCTCCGTGGCGGTACTGCTGGGAAGGGGCCTCACACAGGAGGGAATACTGCTTCCGGCCTGCATGGGAGCCGCCTAGCCCCTGGTGCTGGCCAGCCGCCCCCCTACACAGACTCGCCTGTCCTAGCAGCTGAGCAGACGGGTCCACTGAAGCACTGCAGCCTGCACCCACCTTCCCATGGTTCCCCAGGTGCTTGCCTGGGCAAGAGGGGTTCCCAGCTCAAGGGCTGTTCTCCTGAGCAATTGCTACCTTTTCTGCACAAGCCAGGAAGTCAATGGGCTCAGGTGGTCCTGCCCTGTCTATCTTCAATGTCAAGACTTAGTGTTCAATTCTCCCTGCCGGGCGCACAGCCCACCTAGTAGCAGTCCTCACAGACATGCATAGCTGCAGTGCTCGCCTGGAAAGGCCCTCCTGTGGGCTTGCCCGGAGGGAGGGGAGCTGATTGCACCCCTCTCGCCTTTTGCCCCCCATAGTCCCATCACCAGCCTGCACTCCCACTGCGGGGACAAGCCCGCAGCCTCATCCCACACTCCCCCCATGACCAGCCCATGTTTCTGCACAATTAAGTCTTAGGAACAAGTACAGACACCAATGTGTCAGAAAGTCTGGCCTGGCCAGGGGGATTGCAAGAGTTTGTAGAGGTATTAGATCTGGTCCGCACAGACATAACCCAGGAGACCTGAGTAGTTGCTCAAGCACATGGATCCAGTAAGACCACAGACTCCTCCCCCAAGGGGCAGGAAAGCCAATTAATCTAGGGAAAGTCTCCTTTTCCACATGGAAACCCAACCCGGACTCACATTGCTGCCACGCCTCCCTGCATGCAACCCCTGATCTTCACCCCCTTTGAAATATACATATATATATGTATATATATATACCGATATACATTTTCTTGTACAGAAATGTTAAATTCTCAAGATTAAGTATCTTCAGTTGGAGAAAATCAATTTACTTCTTTGAGGAGGTTGGAATTGAAAGTCATAAGCCTGAAACTTACTTTCTTGCCAATTTCCCTGATAAAAAAAGCTCCTCCATCCTGGCACGTTGCCCTATACTGGCTTCTCCAAACAATTCCATTAATTGATTTGGGTGACTGGCCCTGAAGCAATGCTTATTAAGGTTCCCACCGGTTAGGACAGGCAGGATGACTTGGAGCCGTGGGACTAGGAGGGGCTGATGGCTGGGCTGGGGGCTGTCGCCTGGCCCTGGGGAGATGGGAGAGGGACCTGACATTCCAGGGGCACCTGCTTGCCCGAGGGAAGCATCCCAGGGATGTGCCCAGGAATCAGAATCAAGGGCAGAACTTAACTGGAAAGAGTCATGAATGATACAATTGAGAAAGGGCCCCAGCACAGAGTACAGGCACAGTCGGGTGTGTGTGTGTGGGGCGGGGGGGGGGTTCAGAGAGAAGCAGGTATCAGAGCTTCTGCCTAAAGCTACTGCAGGGGGATTGTTGGCTCCTGAAGCTGGGAAATCATAAACTCTTGAAGTAGCAACCAGCTTCATGTCTAACTGTCACCTCTCAACTGGCGAGGCTCTCTGGAATCTCTTCCCATCTTCCTCTTCCCGTGTTTTTACTTGCTAGAGACTTTGATACCGAAATGTCTCTCCCTCAAGTCCATCGGCATCAGGGCCTTCCCAGTCCCCAGCTGGTTTATTGGCGCTTGTTATGGAGTGTTCCTGGGGTCTCTCTCCGGTACCTATGCATGGAAGTGGTGTTGTGAAGAAGCAGGCCAGAGATTGAAGAAGGAGGGGGAAGTTCTATTCCCACTCTGAGGCATGAGTAGTTAGGGCTTTACATGTACTGATGGTGAACGGGTTGCCTGGAGAGTGAGTGGGTTAGACGGGGCAGGTGGAGAAGTGGAGGGGTGGTTGTGTGTGGATAGGTGAAGTGAGCAGATGGATGGAGGGAGAGCTGGGTAAATGGGTAGGGAAACAGGTAACAGGCTGATAGATAGTCAGATGACTGAATGAACTCATGTGGAGATGTGTGGGTTAGTGGCTAAGAACATGGATATGATGAATGAGAGGGATGAAGGAGAAATGAATGGATGGATAGAAAAGGGATGGATGGGTGATGGATGGATGGTGGATGGAGGAGGGAGGGAGGGGTGAATGGACTGATAGGTGGGTGGATGGATGTATGAATGAATGACTGGATGGCTGGATGGAGTATGGATGGGTGGAGTGATAGATGGATAGAGGGTGGAAAGAAGCTTGCGTGCAGACAGGCATGAATAGGAGGTGAAGGGAACCCTTATCAACCCAGAGTTCCCACCTGTGCCAGAATAAGGACACTGTGAACACAAGAGGACCTGGGATAGAAGACGAATAGAAGCATTGGAGACAGGAGAGGAGATAGAATTCCCAGTCAGCAGGTGGGCAACGTGGTCAAAGAGTCTGGGAATCTGCAAGCAGGTTTGCTTGGACTTGAAGGGTTTGATTAGTGGAGTAGTTAGGATGGATTCTCGGAAAAGTAACTGCATTGGGAATGGAAGAAGGAGGTGGTGTGGGAAGAAAGTGTCATTATCCACTGCAGCATCACAGATAACCCCTCACTTAGGGTCCTTGGGCAGCAGAGATGAGCCATGAGAGGGTCAGGAGACATGGCAGCTGCTCTGGGTCTGCACATGCTGTGTCCCTCAGACTGCATCCCCGCCAGACCCTGGGCTCCTCCCCGCGGAGCATCAGATGGAGCTGCCTTCCCTTCCATCATTGTGGGACTGGCCACGCACGACACCCAGCATCGCAGCTGGCCGCCATCACCCCCATCAGGCGAGGGGCAGAGAGCATGTGGCCAGAACCCATTTCCTGTGGGTGCAGCGGGAACACAGCCCATCGCTCCTGGGCTTCAGAGAGCCATGAGGCGTGGCACACGCCCAGGGCAGGAGGTGATACCAGGAGACCAGATTATTTGAGCCAGGGAGAAGCCTTGGGCCACAGACACTCTCAGGAAAGGTGGCAGAATGCAACAGAAAGCCTGAGCAGGAGACTTTGAACGCCAGAAATCATGTCAGAAGTAAGGAATGTTTACAGAACCGGAAGAACAGTAAATCAGGGATGTTTTCTATGGGCAAAAGGGATGGTTCTTAAGGGGAGAGCCAGGGCAGGAAAAACACTGTGTGTGAGGGGAAGGGAGTCGGGGATCCACTAGGGGAAACAGAACGTGAAGAGGGGTGAGTGGCAGAGCAAAGAATAGCAGTGGATGGGGGGTCGCAGAAAGCCAGGACCAGCTAGAAGTGGGACCAGACCAGGCAGGCATTTTGCAGGTGTGGAGCATGGCAACAGGCACCAGAGCAGATAAGACCTGCCCCTGCATAGCACCCAGTAGGGAGTGTCTGGGCACATTTTACAAGCACCACGCATCCTGCCTGGAGCCTCACCTCCCCCTCAAGAGTCATTCCCAACTGCAGCATCTAGCCCTCATTGGGATAGGGCCAAGGCAAAGCAGAGTTGGGAAGGTCATAGGTCTATAATGCTAAACTTTATGTGGTTGGACCATCCTCTTAAGCCAAGACCCTCTATAAAATAGGTTTGTACTTGGCAATACAGTGAGCAGCCATCAGCAGTCTCCCAGAGTGGTTTCTCCACGCACCCTGGTCATCCTTTGCCCCACGTCTACCCAGACCTGGTGCGCAGCGTGTCTGGGAACAATGGGGAAAACTGTTCCCCAACATGCATTGGGCAGTGGAGGGAGAGACGCCAGCCCTTCCTGCTCAGTCTCACCTCTGGTGGGGAGGACCTAGGCCAAGAGAACCGAGGAAGAGAGGACACAGGCAGAGTGGAGCCAGTGGGAGGACTCAGGTAGGGGGAGGTCTCCTGTGCGGGAAGTGCCCTAGACCTGTCCGATTCAGGTGCAGATGGAATTCCAAGTGAGGTCCTGCCTGCTATCTGGGGGGTTCTCAGGTGTGCCAGGAGCTGTTTTGGGAAGGGACAGCATCAGGAGAGTTGAAGACACACTTTCCTACGCCAGCCGCTCCTGGCAGGCTCCGCTGCCCCCTCCCACCGCCCCCCGGTCTGCTAGCCTGTTCCCGAGCTCCTGAGCCGTCACGTACCCCGGAGCTGGGCCAGAGCCAGTCAGACAGGCTGACGTCACAGGCAGGCACAACCAGCCTTGGAAACAGCTGGGTGCAGTGAGGCCTGAGAGCCACCTGCTCCCCTGGGACCTGTGGCGGTGGCCGGTCCCTCCAGGCAGGCACCAAGCTGGAAAGAATCTGCCGTACCAGACATCCTGGCCATCTGTCAGGGAGGACAGAGCCCACTAGCCTTGCTCCTGCCTACCCCAGGGCCCTCTTGGACTCTCACTGCTAGCCCAGGACAGGCAGACAAACTTCTCCACCAGGCCTGGCCTGAGGGGTGCTGAATCCCCTCACCAGCAGCAGGCAGAACTTTCTGGGGTAAGCCTTCTCTCCACTCTGCCGTCCGTGGTCCTGATGGCCCACCTAGACTCTAAGATACAGCTCGCAGGAGTCATGTGGTGAGGGGGAGGGGGACAAGGGTAGGGGGGGCGTTCCCAGGATCCTCCATGTATCTCCCCTCTCAGAGAACCCTCATAGTTAGTGGCTATTAGGCAGCAGAGCAGCTGAGTGATCAGACACCAGGTCTCAAGCTGGAGGTCTGCTTTACCCCTGTTTTTTTACCCCTGAGATAGTCCTACCTCAACTTTCCCATTTGTGAAATGGGACGGTACCTGCCTCTGGTCATCTCTGCAAAGAGCCTGTGAGTTGATGCCGCTAGCAGCTTGCCCATGCAATCCTTTAATCCATGTCAGAGGAAAGAAAGTCCAGTTTTGAAAACACACCTGAAAACCACTCTTGTCGAGGCAGAGAGCCGAGAGTTTTCCCGGGAGGAGGGCCTAATCTGGGCTCCGGGCTGGTACACTCCCTTCAGTGAGTTTGGGACCCGACCCTTCCCGGCTGCAGCTGCCTGCTCAGAGTGACTCCCTTCCACGAGGCCCAGAGACAATTCCGTGTCCCAGCCCTGTGGGGGGTGAGCGGTGCTGGGACCCAGGCGCACTCAGTAACTCTGCATGTCTCATTCCTCTGGGGGGCCAGAAGTCCAAGATCTCCACCTTCGAGAAGATGTGGGCCTTCATGAGCAGCAAGCCCTCGGCACTGGTGAAGAACAATGAGGAGGGCATCCAGAGGACACTGACGGCTGACTACGCACTGCTCATGGAGTCCACCACCATCGAGTACGTGACCCAGCGCAACTGCAACCTCACCCAGATTGGGGGCCTCATCGACTCCAAGGGCTACGGCATCGGCACCCCCATGGGTGAGCGAAGCATGAGGGGAGGGGGCCAGGGTCGCACCCACCACTCACAACCCCCCCAGCCTCTCGCCTCCTCTCCCCTCCTCCTCCCTCCATCAAGCCTGGAGAAGGGTGGTGGGACACAACCCTATTCTGACAAATGGGGTAAAGTTGAAAAGGAGTAGGGGTCAGTGCTTAGAGGCCATTGCTCATCTGACCTTCCCTTGCAGAGGTGGTAGCCCAGATGCCCCGATCTGCCAGGGGCCTCTGCACACAGCTTGAATCACGATCCTTCCTGGGTTTTTTCACCTTGGTGAAAGGGGAAGGAAAGTGGTAAATCAAGTCAAGGGGGTAACTATAGTAACAGAAACTGGGATTTGGGGGTGAATAAAGCAGTAGATGCTGTTGTTGGTCCAAAAGGCTGCAAACCTCTCCCCAGCATCCTAAATCAACACTCCTTCCATCAAAGGGGGCTCTGACCACAGGGGCCCACTTTCCAGAGCTCAGTGGGCGGGTGCTCAGGACCAGTGCACTGAGTCCAGGCTCTCCTCCCCACCCAGGCTCCCCATATCGGGACAAGATCACCATCGCCATCCTGCAGCTCCAGGAGGAGGACAAGCTGCACGTCATGAAGGAGAAGTGGTGGCGTGGCAGCGGGTGCCCGGAGGAGGAGAGCAAGGAGGCCAGCGCCCTGGGCATCCAGAAGATTGGCGGCATCTTCATCGTCCTGGCCGCCGGCCTCGTCCTGTCTGTGCTGGTGGCCGTGGGCGAGTTCGTGTATAAGCTCCGCAAAACAGCAGAGCGAGAGCAGGTGAGACCAAAAACTAGGAGGCGGGGGTGGGGGGTGGGGGGTGGGGCGGGATAGGAGCGGGGGATGGGCAGGAGCTTCATTTCTGGCAGACCACAAAATACTCTCCAGTCTGAACTTCCTCCTCCTCTCGCCCTCTCTACCCACGTTGTCCCCATCCAAGCTACGCTCTGACTTTATCCCAACCCCTCCTTTCCCTGCGAGCAGCCCGGCAGCCATTGTGCAGGGCGAAGGGACAGAGGGCATCATTGGACTTTCTCCCACTTCCAGATATATATGGGAATTCCAATCATCAATCATCCTGTTCCAAACAGGAAAGAGCTAATGCAGCCAACCCAACCTCATAGGTGGTGAAATGAGCCTCAACCTAACTGCTTTATTCCAGGGTGTCTGGGTGGTGGCACTGCGCCCCGAGCTGGTGACACTCCCAGGGAGAAAGGGCTTCAGTGCTAATGCCCTGTGTTCCCACGGGGAACTGTATTGATCGGTCTGCAGTGGATCCGGGCAGTAGTACCCTCAGGCACAGGGTGATTTCAGTGGGCATCGGGGCAGGCTGGGAGTGGCCTCTCCTCCAGAAGCCCAGATGGTCACTGAGTCAGTAGGAAGGGGCATGCCATGAAACCATGTGGGGAAGGAGAGAAATGAGCCTCTCCCTCACGGAGAGAGCGGGAAGGAATTCCTCCTGCCTAGGACGCCGGGTCTGCAGAGAGCAGAGGCAGCTCAATGTGAGGGTTAGCAGCCATCTTCCAACATCGCACAACAAGGGAAGAGGGAACCTCTGCAAGGCGATTTGCAGGACGAGCACTTCTTTAAGAGTCCACAGGTTTTGACCACTTCCTACTTTTAGAAAGTGAAATAAGGGTTTGTGCATTTTTTTTACTAGGATGATGTCAAAGCATGCATGCTAACGTATCAAAAAACAAAAAGGGGGAGCCTCAGTATACCTGAAAGGAATCCACTAAATGTCTGCTACCTCAGGAAAGATTCACCACATTCTGTGGGGACCCTGGTGCAATTGGAGTAAGCATCAGAGAACTGCACTTCACTCTCATCTCTAATCAGCCTCTCCCTCCGTTCCTCTGCTCTCCTGCCCTTGCAGTCTTTCATTCTCTCAGTGCATTTCCGCCTCAGGGCCTTTGCACCTGAGGTTCACCTGAGTGGTTGGTCTCTACAGGTCAGTCAAGTTGTCACCCACTTGCCCTCTTCTCACTCTGCCTTCCCATCATGCCCAGCCCCTCTCTAGCCCATTAGCTGCTTGATCCTCTTCATATGGGGATTGCAGCTGTTTCTGCCCCCCTCACCGTGAGTTCCCTGAGCTTGCTCACTGCTGCATGCCTAACACCCAGAACAGGATGGGTCCAGGTCAGGGCTCTGTAAATTTTCCCAGAGTGAAGAAAAGGAGTGTTGAGGGAGGATACTGACCAATGAGTGTGGGCATCCTCAGAGAGGTCACAGGGCTGGTGAGAGACAGAGTTTGGGTTCAAAGCTCTGTTCCCTTGTACCATGCAGCCTGCAGGCAAGCTGTCTCCGAGAGAGAGGCAGCCTCACTGGCTAAGCTGAACCTTAAGAGAATTGTCACTACCTTCCAGACAAACCACAGAGAGCCTCTCCGACGAGCCACTGCCCTCCGATACCTATACTTCTTCAAGACAGGTGAACTCTTTGAGCGTGGATGTGTAGCCAGGGCCTCAGTGTGCTCATCTGTGAAACGGGCATAAGATGCAGCGCCCTGCTCAGGACGTTATACACACAGGCCAAGGCGCAGGAAGCACAGGCCTGAGAGTGTCCAGGGGGCCTGAGCACAGGCTGTGGGAGGAAGGGAGGCGTGGCAGGACCAGGCCTCATCCGTGTGCCCCTTTTGCTCTCCCTGCAGCGTTCCTTCTGCAGCACCATGCTCGATGAGATTCGCTTTTCCCTCACCTGCCAGCGTCGGGTCAAGCACAAGCCGCAGCCTCCCATGATGGTCAAGACCGACGCCGTCATCAACATGCACACGTTCAATGACCGCCGGCTCCCGGGCAAGGACAGCATGAGCTGCAGTGCCTCTCTGGCCCCTGTGTTCCCCTAGGCGCAGGGCTGGGACGCCGGGCCTGGGGCAGGACAGAGGAAAGCGAAGGAGACAAGAAGGAAGGTCCCCTGGCCCCTGCTGGCCACAGGGACCAGAGCTGCTGCCCACCTGGTGAGCCAGGAGCCCTCTGCCCTTACCTCCTAGGAAACCAGCAGCCCCCGGGCCAGCTGCTGGGGCTTCACTCTCCTTTCATTTCTTCTATGGGTTTCTAAAGCTGCCAGCCGAGACAGCCAAGGCCAAAGGAAGCACACGCCTCTCTCAGGCCAAACCTACCTGCCCCTCAACCACCCTCCACGGTCAGAAGTTGCCCCCACAGCCCCACAGAGGCCAAAGAACATGGAAAACAGACCTTACCACCACTCCTGCCCCCGTGATCCTGGGTCTTCTGGGGGCTTGATCAGAGACACAAGCTTTGGGCAACTTAAGGATGTTAGTGTGGCTGCCAATGGGAACCAGAGATGGGGGGCTCCCCCCACCACATGCCTGGGCAGAGGGAAAAGTTCAGCTCTCAAGGACTACATAGTCCCGGTCTCCTGGACTTGATATCACCTATGTTTGGGCAGAGTTGGAAGCAGAGCTCTACTGGGAAAGAGTTTGGGTGTGGGAGGAAGTATGCTCAGCAGACACCATCTTGAATCCTCATGGACAACATCCCGGTGGCCCCCATTCCTCTAGGAGGTCTCTAGGATAATAAACTGGGGCAAAGCAGAGAAAATTCTTCTCTACTTTCTGGCTGGAGAAGAAAGAAGCCCCTTAACTACTCCCAAAGGATGCTCAGATACTCAACTGATATTTGAAGCCCAGAGGAGCAATGGAATCCCAACAGCAAATGTGCCATTGGATCTTACTGTGCTGGTCACCAAGCTGCTTTCTAACCCCCTGGAGCTTGGGGGAGCTTGGGCTCCTTCACCTCTACTCAGCAGCCGCTCCCAGTGTGCCGTGACCTACTTCCGTCATTGAGGAAGAGTGGCTTAGACTCAAATGAAAGTTACCACCTTTCCTCCAGTGAGAAGTGGTGTCTTACTTCACGGGACAACTTTGGGGTAGAAGAGAAAGCATGAGAGGCCCTAAGGAACTGCTGGTCTCCTGCACCGGCCAGGCCTAAAGAGATGCCCTAGAAAAGGTTTCCTGAGGCAGTGTATCATAATGGTTGAGCCCCTGAGGGTGGAAGGGGAGCAGCTGCCTCCTGGAGAATTAACCAAAGAGCCCACGCAGAGACACATGGCCGTCCTGGCCCCTGGTCTCTAGTCCAGAGCAGCTGGGACCTCGTGGGGTGTGGCGGTACAGCAGAGCGGTCATAGCATCTGAGATTCCAATAAGGGGGAGACCAGCTGTTGTGGATGCTTTGCAACTCTGGGAAATGAGTGAGACAATGGAAGGATCAGGAGCAAAGTGTCCTTAAAGAGAACAGGAGGTGGCTGGCAGGGCTGCCTGTGGTCAAATGCAGAGGGCAGGATACAGGCTGGAGACTCTGTCCGGGAGACACCAGCCAGTCCACTCCCAGGGGAAGCGAGGACATTTAGGTCTCACTGGAACAAAGAGTAACCTCTGGGTTCTCCCCAGGACTCAAAAAAAAAAAAAAACCAACCTGTGAGTACTGTGGCACGTCAGTCAGACAGTCCCTCCTCCAAACTGCGTGCTGCAGATCAAGCCAGCCAGTTGCCAGTGTGCATTGGAGGGGAAGAGGGCTGGGCATGCAGTGGAGACAACACGTGTAACGAGGAAAAGCCATGCTGGGGTGAGCTTCCACATGAAGGGATGTGTGCGCTTTCTATCTTTGTAGGAGGATGAGCTTTGGGGACTGGACTAAAAACAGAGTCCAGGGCATGCAATAAGAAGAGAATTCTTTGGGTTTGGTGTGTGTGTGTGTGTGTGTGTGTGTGTGTGTGTGTGTGTGTGTGTGTGTGCATGCACGCACTTGAATTATAGAGGACGGAAATGAATCTGGCAAACAATGCCCCATTACCTGTTAGAAAACAGGAAAAGCCATGTTGGGAGGGGATTTGGGTGAGTAGGGTATATGGATTGTTGCATGTGTGGGTTTTGTGTGTGTACGTGTGCCTGCGCACGTGCATGCATTTCTGCTCCAAACGGCAGAGGGGAAGGACAGGACTAAACCTGCAGCATTGCCAAATATGTTTCAAAGGAGAAGCCATGTCAGCAAGGGGTTCACGCAGGAGCATGAGCAGACAGCGGGGCCTGGTGTGTGCCTGGACTGCAGAGGCAGGACAGAGCCAGAGGGACGACCCGCGCGGCAGCAGCTCAGTGCACGTGGTGTGAGAGAAGCTAGACAAGGGTTGGCAAGTGTGTAAATACGCTCACCCACATGTTCACACACAGATTATTCCAGCTCCCAGATAATCAGGGAGGAAGGGAGCAAGGGTCTGTTTGCACTTCCATCCCGGGAGAGAGCAGTCGGCACTGGGGTTTACCGGGACTGTATTATTATTGTCGTTGTAGTGGGGACTGGGCTAGTGGGGGAGATCCCTTTCAGGGACTCCTGGCTACTCTCAGCTGCGTCTTGTTGGAAGGAAAACGGAGTGTCTGTGTGGTCCCAGATGACAGGAAATCTAGAGCCTTGTGGCCAGACTCAGTGGCCAGTGACTAACCATAGTCTGTCTTTCTCTGATAGAACTTCACAGCACATGCCCACACCCAGGCTCAAGTCACATGCTCCGGTGTGTGGCTTTGTGTATGTCACTCTAAGAACACGCCCTTTCTTCTGAGGCTGTGTGCTTCCCGAGACACTGGCGGGAGTGCAAGGCAGTGCCTGGGGCAGGGAGAGTTTTCATCAAAGGGAGAAGAAGGGCAAAATTCAGAGGCACAACTCAACCCGAAAACCCCGCTGAAAAGTGCCGGAATGATTTTTAGCTTCCTGCATGGATGGCAGCACCCACTGCTGAGCTGTCCTCGGCTGAGCCTTATGTCCACTTGCAGCCACGCCCGCGTTTGTCTGCCACCCACCCGGGGTTCAGACGGGGCCGGAGACCGTCTGCCCGTCTATCTGTGCGCTGGGATCCCTTTGGGGTTCTGAAGATGCCACTCTGCCTTGGCATCTGTCCCCAGCAGGGCAGAATGTGTGTTTTGATCTGTCTTCCAGTGGGCGTGGGCCACGCTGCAGGGGGCGGGGCAATGCTGCAGGGGGCGGGGCCCCGAGGAGGCTCTCAGGCGATTGGCTGCTCCCGAGTGACAGGGCGGGTGAGTGGTTTGAATGGAGCAGAAGGTGGCACTTCTCCGAGCAGGTGCTGGACTGAACCTGTCTGGCCCCCTCCTGACACCTCCATCTCCCATCCCCAGATGCCAGGTTCTCTTCTCATCCTGCTCAGCCCGGCCCAACTGAGGGCTGCTGTGGAAGATGTATATACTCCCCCGCTCCCAGCGCTGGGGACCCTGAACCATCTCTTTCTCCTCACCCCCTCTTCTGGTCTCTCTGTCACACACAGATAAAAGGACCCTGAGAACGTTGTCACCATACAGGAGGCCCCGCGCTGAGTGTGCCTCGAGGAGGGGCCCCACCCCCATGAGGCCACTCCAAATCTCTGAAGGGGTGGGGAGACCTCCCCTCCTGGCACTCAGACTCTGCCTCCTGGCTCCCCCACTCCCACCGCCTCTGCCCATGGAAATCCTGGTCCTGCCTGGGGGAGGCTCCCAGTGGTTAGAAGTCATCCACCCCCCCTCCCTCAGCCTCAGGTCAGACTGACCAGCTCACACCCAGAACAAGGTGGGGAAGCCCCTCTGCCTTTTCCAGGTGCTGTGGGAAAGGGGGCTGCAGCTGCTGCTTCCTCACTCAGCACAAAGCTGCCCCCCACCCCAACCCTCCCCAGCTGTAGGCACAAACATCTGGAATGCCAGCTGGGAAGGGCTTAGTGTTTGGATAAACAGCTGTATGGACTTAACCACCGAGCATGGGGCAGCCCCAAGGACAGATGCAAGGAACGAGCTGGGGACAGTCTCTGGGTGCAGGTGCACACATCTGGACCAGGCCCCCTGCTGCTGGCCGCCACCCCCATGGACCCTGCTCTGTGTCCCCAGTCTGAGCCATGCCCTCATTTTAGTCCTGGATTTGCCCTGGAGTGAGTGAACATTTCAGAATTGAGGGCATACATGAAATCACAAAACCATTGTTGGTAGAAGGTTAATGCTCTGTACTATATATGTATGAATGTAAAAAAAATATACATATGCTGTATATATATATGCACAGTGTACATAGGACCTGTAGCCCCGTGTACATGCTCCCTCCCGCACGTCTGCACACAGAGTGTACATAACCCAACCAGTGTGGGCGGGGACCAGGTGAGAGATGGGGCTGAGGGCAGCAGAGTCTGGGACACTGGGAGCAGAGACCATGGGATGGGAATGTGGGGGGCTGCTGCAGAGAGCCCCGATGGGTGGGCTTCTGCATTCATCAGCTCCGAGCCCTGGAGAAGAAAGAGGCAGCACCACGGGGCGGGGGTCAGGCCTGCACAGCCCCTGCCTGGGGAAGGGCTGGGGCAGTAGAGGCCTGAAGCACCCAGTCTCCCTCTGCAAGCACCGGAAGGTGGGCTCATGTCTGGGGAGCTAAGGCGTGCTAGCACTGCGCCCCGAGACTGTGCCGTGGCTGCCTGCTGCGTGCCAAGTAGGTGACGAAGGCGGCTGAAGGCGGCACGGGCTGCATGTTGCTCCCCACTGCTTCCATCCCTGCCTTCTCAAACACAAGAGTCGCCATTCAGCACACCTCTACTTGACAGCCCCATACTCAGAGGCCTCTAGATCTGGGAAGCATTAAGGACCATCAGTGCCGCCAAGAGTGTGGCCCAGCTGACCGCCCCAGCCCTGCTGGACCGGAGGCCAAGGACAGTGGGCTGGGGTGAGGGGGAGGCCAGGCCTGCCCGCCTAGCACAGCCCCTGCCATCTGTCCGCCTTCTCTGCTGGGGCATCACCCCACTGCGGGCAGTTGGCGGGGAACAACCCCTGTACCTGCTGACCTCTGGCCCTGCTGCCCCTGGGTCGGTCTGTCCTTCCAGGCGTCCAGCCTTCTGCTTGTGGGCCTGCCCCCCTGGTCAGAGGAGCTCTGAAGTGAGCTTTCCCTCGGCTTCCCTGTGTGGCCGAATGGTTTGCACAGCATCATGGGGCTCCTTGGGGGCTAGAGCTCCCTGGAACCCAGCCCCTGAAGGTACCAGCCCTGTCTCCAGGATGGAATCAGGGCCTCAGAGGCCCTCCAGCCACTGTGTCCCAAGTCCCCAGCCCACCTCTGCCTGGCCCCCTTCCTGGCTGGGCCTCCCAGGTTGGGGACTTAGGTCCCCAGCCCCTAGGCTAAGCCCCCAAGACAGCACCATGCAAGATCCCTGGCTCATCCCA